CTCCAACTACAAGTTGTTCCCGCCACAGATGGCACACAGCTTCGCATAATCTCCATTTAGGCTCTCTTACGACCGATATTTAGAGGCAACTGCACACGTGTTAAGATAAACACAATAGCATTGCAGTGTTCGATCAGAGCACTACAATCATGATAACCTCGTAGTGATAATATTCAATAGATTATAACCTACTTCTTGTTACAGTAAATCATAATCTCACCAGTGACATGCAGAGAATAAGAAATTGATTATCCTCTAATTCTCCAATAAACAGATATTTCAACACCACAAGATTATTAAGAAATATAAAGATCATTTGTAATTTCACCAAGGTTAATAATTCCCATTGGAAATAAAGTAAAATAAATGAATTAAACAGCAATAATAAAGATATGTGTTAATTATTGAATCGATGCATTAACCCTTTACTTGCCCGGCAACCCCACACAACATCTAGTGGGTTTTTTGTTCTAAGTTGATTTTTGCACGTTTGGCTGACGAGTCAGATTGTGGAATTATTTTCCGAATAATATTGTTCAAGTTCAATGTTTAACTTCAAATGTTCAATTTCAAACTTGTAACTGATTATTTTTATTTGATCAAGGTAAAGTAGATCACTATAAATTAGAAGAATAATAATTTCTTATTAATATTTCTGACCGAAAAATAGATTATTTATAAAAGTTTGAAAATTTAACTGCTTTTAGTTTTACATAAAATTTATGCATACATAGTAATTAATAACGAAGTACTACAATAATTATAAAAATAAAAATAAGATATGGGCATATAAAAATTCTCTATTTTAATAAATGTAATTTATAAAATAAGCTTATTTATCTTAGACAATTGTCTAATTATTTTTCAAAAATTATGTACAAATTTCATTTGTGAAAGTATATTAAGATTTTTTAAACGAAATTAAATATATAACTCTATATGAGACATACTTAACAAACTATTTTTATTAATATAGACAATTGATTTATTATTCCATAATTTGTTGGAAAGTATTTGATTAAATTGATTTAATCAATCCACACAATTATTAAAATTTTAAATAGATTTATTGATTTTTTAATTTAAAAAATTGATCTCTGAAAAAATATTCTCTAAAATCATTTCAATCAATGCATATGTTATAAGAAAAATACTCACAAAAATATGTGAGTTTTTAATCAACTAACGGATCAACAATATTATTTATATATGATTTATATATACTGAATATTGTACTATTTTACCAATTCCTCAACAATATTTAATTATTTATATAGTTACTTGCAAAAACGTTAATAACCCTATAATAATGTTTTTATTAACAAAGTGACCGATTCTTTAATAAATAATCTAATAATTCTACCCCGAGAATATGATGCTTTGCTGAGTGACGATTTAATTATTTTAATTTCGTAACTTATTGTTAGGATCATGCAGTTTCTCTAAATCATATAATTTATCATTCAAGTTCATGAAAATTTCAGAGTCTTCAGCATTTAAATTAATTTAAAATAATTCGAGAAAGTATTGTTTAAAATTTTGTTGTATATAATATTATTTATAATTGATTTATGTAAATAGATAGCTATAATTATCATATTAATTTACTTAAAAGTAGAATAATAATGATAATCATTATAATAATATTGCATAATTTACAGATTATGTAAAGTCAGATACTTTAGTAGGCGATGCATCGCATCCAACTGCTTCCGTACTAGCCGAAATAGTGAAGCCAAACATTCCTGTGAAGAATGGCGTGATTCACCTAATACAGAATCCGTTAATGGTCGTCGATACAACTGTTGTAGAGTTTATTCAGGTTAGTGGAACATTCATTTATCTTCTTTTTTTCTCTCTTCTCTCTTTCTCTCTCTCTCTCTCTCTCTAGGTAAAATTTCTGTAGGATGAAAAAAGTCAGATGCGCAAAAAATGTGGAAAATATCACAGAAGAGGATAACTGATGTAAAGAAATTAACGAGAAAATAAATTAGACTCGGCGAAACAAGCAATCTATTAAAGAACAGAAGGGTCAAAAGTATAACCCTTTTTTATCTTTTCGCATCATTAATTTTTTTTTTGGTTAGTATCATGGTAAGATTTCCAGTCTGACAGTACGCAAGATATACTACTATAAACTTATATAGTTCCCTTCTTATTATACGTGTGAACAACAGATTACATACATTAAAAAGAAAATAATTATAATGCATGACTTATAAATGTATGTATGAATTTTTTTTTAAACGAGCGATTTAAAATACAAAATGTTTCATTCCTTGGACGTGTATATTTTATTACTTATTTTATTATTATTTAAAAATTGAAATAACTTGTTTCCATTTGATTAGAAAATGGACGTTATCTCGTGAATAATGAATTGTAGTTTTATTAAATTGAATATTGAATGGTTCAAAATTGTCTTTAAAGTTCAGCCTAAATGAACACTCGTGCTAACATCGAAGCAATCTCGTGAATAATGTTAATTTATTAAATTATTACGGAACTTGGTTTTTTTCTTCATCGTTATCGTTATAAAGGGTGTGAGAACAAAAGCGGCTGAACGAAATCAACGAAACTTTCGCGCGAGTAAGTCGCAAAAACTTTCGACCAGTATTTTCGATCAACAGTAGTTTCGATCACTGTAGTTCTGGTGAAATCTTATTAACTTATCAACTAATTTTTATGGACTTTATTGAAATTAAGAATAATTTGTTATAAATTGCTTTAATAAAATATTAAAAAGACGCCTAAAATTTAATAAGAAGAATTAGAAGAGTATACTATTGATTTTCTTTAATTTTGTGTTCGGGACTCTGGTAAAATGGCTGTGCGCCAAATTAAACGCAATTTCATGTATTTTAAAAATCGTAGGTAATATAATTGACCTCCATTCAGTAACATTTAGATGCTTATAAAAGCTTTACTTAAGCTGAACGGTCAAGATAATATTGCAGCTAAATCTTTCTACGAGTCGCCGTAAATTATTATTGAAACAACACAGTAATAACTGGCTAAAACAAGTGATTCGGAGTACGTGATGATCGGATGGCTCATCAAAACAGGGGCCCAATTTGCATGTATGCCACGGCACGACGAACAGTAATGGTCCGCGTTAATCTTCCCTGTGCATAGAATTCATAATTTGTAATATCTATGTAATCTGCAATAGGTCGACCTTTACGTAGATGTTGATGTAATGAATGGAATACGCTAATCGTTTTGTACGAAATACATTTGAAATTTAAAGGAAAAAAATATTATATCTTCGTTGTCTGAATATAACTTACTTATAAAATATATTATTTATACTTAAAGTAATGTTGAATAAATAATTCTAATAAAACTATAATTAATTATCAGTAATAGTACATTCTAGTATGATAAAGATTACGAATTTTAATTTTAATTTCATATTTTTTATGTCATTTAAGTTTATTTGTACAGTGTACATTATACAGAATTTTAATACAATAATTTTTAATAACTGATTATAATATAGTTACGTTATCGAATAATTAAATTTACTTTTAATTTTCAAATAACATTAGCATTTATTTTAAATGCAAATTTGTTTATAACGTAATTTATTCTATATTCCAAAAACCAAATGTTCTCAGTAACTACTATAAAGAAGCAAACTGAATTAATAAAAATAAAAATTTATTTCATAAAATAACAACAAATATTTATACATAAAACAATACGAATATCCAGTATGATTATTGATTATTTATTTGCTGCTAATAATGGCAGATTGATTTTTGTATAATTTATGTGCTCTCCTCGGGAATTCGAATCCTTATGTGCCAACTATTTCCCAACATATGCAAAGAAATTTCTTTTGGTGCTTTTATTATTTATTTTAAAAGTATTTATTAAAAAAAAAATTATTGTAGTTGTGCAATATATCAGCTATATTTAATTTATTTTTAAGTCTCAGATTATTGCAATCTGAAAGGAAGGTTTGTAAATTTTAATTTAAAAATTAGAAGTATTAATTTTAAAAATAAATTTTATGAAAGTGCAACTCAAGCATTTAGAATAATAAATATAAAACGAGAAACATGCAAACTGTCAGACTGGATAGTTCTTGGAAGGAGTGTGAAACAACTGGAAACATTACGAATGCAATCAGAAGTTGTGGATCAAGATGTATTCGTTTATATGTGTGTGTATGTCAAAATTAAATGAAACTCTCACTATACACGAAGAAATAAAAGAAAAGAACAAATTGAGAATTGTACATTATCTCAATTTTTAAATTTCTATGCAATTATATGTAGTTATAGATCATAATAGTTTTATTTTTAATTTATTTATTATTTATTCATGATGTTTATACTCATTCTGTGTACAAATAAATATTCAAATATTATGTGATATCTACTTTACTCATATCATAATCCTGTAGATTTTCTTATATATACACCTACAATTTAATCATCTACAAATACAATACAACTATACAATTAAAGATAAAAACAAATGTGTACTATAATAAATAAATGATGAAAACAGCAAGGTGCTAAATTGCATATAATATTCACATTATGATATGTTTGCATTAGACTTATATAATCTTTCTTTATCTATAATTCGTAATAGTGCGCATACATACAAAAAACAGATTTTTTTCTTGTTTTTATACTCATACACATATTTCATAAAAAAAGCAAGAAACTATATGTATGATAATATGAATATATATTTATCACATCTATGGCACACTTTAGCCTATTGTTAGCACACTCTAAAACTCGTGATCTTGAAAAGTTGCAACGTGATTTGAAATGATGAACGTCAGCAAGTGTGCATTTATAGGCTTATGTATCTCTTTTTTATGTCTATCTAAATTACTAACGTTTTTCTGCTAAAATCGCATTGTATCCTAAGTTTCGTCGCTTTCGATTTTTCGTTACTATTAATAGTATATATATTTTTTAACGACAGCATCATGATAGCGAACGTCAGCAGCTACAGCGTAAATGTAATATTGTTTTGCACAATTTATAATAATTCCGAAGAAAATCATTCATCCGAATTATGAGATTTGAATACTTATGGTGTGATTTTTCGTAGAATCTTTTCCTAAATATGGTTTTAAAAATTACAGTAATTTATTTTAAACGATGTCTAATACTTGCTAATTTTTTAAATTAAAAGAAATTATAATTCAATGTATTTTGCAAATAAATATAAAATGATTTAGTGAAATAGGAGTTTCTTAGATTTCATAGTTTATTTTAAATAAGATAAATGATGCATTAAAGAATGTATTACAAAGAATAATTTCCAAGTTTTCATCATAATCAATAGTATAATTTAATTGAATTCGAGTCTCATAATATGTCGGGACAATCTGCTAATGATTTTATTTCAGATCTATCCAGTACATTCACTCAATGTTCTTAACACGAATGCTGATCAAGAAGGAAAGTCTTTAAAAAATGTTATATAATACCAATCGACAATGAAAATGACACTGCAAATACAGTGTTTGTCTCAATATACAGTATTATTTTACTATAATGTTTGTAACAGCACAAGTACTTCCCAGTGCACCGCCTTTTTATGCTACGTAATGAAAATTTCTACTAGCAGCCTTGAATACTGAAAAAAATAAATATATAATTTATTATGAACGTATTTCTGGAAAAAATATTTTGAAAATTTCAATATTCATAAATCATTGAAATATATTTATAATTAAAATTACATTTTTTTCAGTAATGCAATATATTTGTTGCTTAATTAAATGACTCATTTATTTTTTACGCATCACATCCTGCTATTATTTTATCTTGCATCCCTTCCTATTATAATTTATTTGTTCCATTATCCAAATATATTGACTTAAGCATAAATAACATTTATAGTATAATGTATATATTATCATAATGATCATAAAAAACGGGTAAAAACAAACGTGATGATATATATCGGAATTTAATATTGGGAAAACTATTTTAACTTCTACGTGTAAATTTTTGACAAGAAGAATAAGAGTCGTTCATACGAAACTGAAAATTATACATTAATTTATGTTCGATTGAATTATACATATCAAATGAGGAAAATTACTTTTTCCAGTACACTCGTATTGGTTTTATTAATATTTCTTTCTTTCTTCAATGTTTCTTCAGAGCTGATTTGATTTCTGATATTTATTTTTAATTAAAAAATGTTTATCTAGACAGCTGCATGAATGATGATTTTATAATTTAATTGGCAAGGATTTTGTGCATTAAATGAATTATATGATATTTCATAATATTTAATTCTCAGATAATTTAGTGAGTAGAAACAGTTTAAATAATTCTTAATGTATTTTACATATTAACATGGTTTATTAACAATTGATTGACGAAGCGCTTAGAAAATTATGAGTACCAATCGCCATTATTGATTATTAAAATAAAATATAGAAAATTAAAATTTTAATAAAATTCTAAATGTAATATAATTTATGATTAAATTTATATAAATTCATTGTTTGCCTAATTTTTTGCATTATTTAATAAATATTCATTATAAATTATTTAGAATATATTTCAATACATAATGTGTAATTGTTTTTTTATTTAGTTTATTTACCAATAGTATTTGTAATTTATACTCTATATTTTTATGACTGTCAACGATTCGAATCATTAAAATTATTTCATATGATATATTCAAAGATATATCAGAGTTTTAGTAGTAATATTGTTTTTGATTGTTAATGATTGTAATAATCAATAAATGAAATATGAAAGATATTAAGTTAAGTATAATTTATTACTATAATGTATTTTAATATTTACGTGGTTAATGAAGTAG